TATACATCTACATAATCACTAGAACATCTCTGGACATTTTACACAAATCCGAAAGTCAATTCTACTTGGAGATTAATAATTATAATCTTTCATATTATGTAGATTTCTGACTTTTGTACCAGATGTATACATTACATATATTTTTTCTTGTTTTGATTAACTTTGATTAATATGCAACTTCTATAAATCTCTTAACTCAAAAATTTGTAAACAAACTCAAAAAAGATAACATTTTTTTTTTTCTTCTGAACTCAACCATTTTTAAATGACTTATTACAGTTTATTTATTTATTTCTTTGTATAAAATTTATTTCTTGTACAGATTTAAATTAAAAAAAAAACATATTACTGATAAAATATACTTCAATTAATGGGAAATATGTTGATAAAATTTGATTTATTTCTCAATTACTTTTAAATCGATGAACATGCGCGACTTTAAATGTTTTGAAGTAATAAAAATTATAATTTAAATGAAAAATAAGTCAAGTGATAAAGAAATTCAATGATATGAGATTTTGCATAGTAAAGGTTTGGAAGTGGACTAACCTCATTTTCTTTATTATTCCGGATTCCTCTTACAAGATCAGCTAAGTTTTTGTCAAATATACGTTCTAAATTTCCTTTAACCTTTTTCAGAGCCATTGTTTCATATATTTGAATGTTTGCGAATTTATCTGTATCATGTATAAATCGCTTTTATCATAAATAATCATTCAGTTCATTAAATTTGCTAACAAACTCGAGTTTAAAATCGGTCATCCAGACATCATGGCTGACGTTTGTATATCACATGATCATTTGACGAAAAATCATTTAGATATTTAAACCTGACACCTATCGATAGAAAATCGAATTATATATTTTCGTATATTTAAATTATAAAATTATAATTACAGTATATATAATTTTTCAATGTATTTCTTAAAAATAAATATTATAACTAAATATTCAATAAAAAAAATAACAATTCTTTTTGAATATCATATCAAGAATATAGTTGAAATAATATTACGTTACATTAATACTAAAAATTATTACGTTAAAGATTATTTTTTATCAATTTAATTTAATAAAATAGTTTACTCAACTTTATTTGTGGTACTTTAGGCATTAAGGAGTGGCCGAAAGGCGCATTAAGTTCTTTGAGAAAGAAGAAACTAATGCGGCTTTTTTAGCTCTTTCCTCCCTTGGGTACTAAGAGGGCATCTTTTTAGCAAGCCCATTATGGGTTAAGCCAGGCCTAAAATGCGGCGGTAGGGTGGAAAGGGACGAGGCCCGACATATCCGACGGACCATTCCCTGAAAAATTCCTGATGATTTTTTGACCCGAAATAGCGATAGCAGCACTCGGTATTCCCAGGTCGTCTCTGTCCCATACTAATGCGGCTAGCTCCATTTCAAACACGTGATAGATAAGTGCTCAGCGTGTATTCAGACAATTAGCCATTCATTACCAATCGTGCAAGCTACCAACAGTGCGGCCGTACCCTAAGAGAGCCTATTTTCCTATATTGATTACAGGTTTAGCTAGCCAACTAAACCTGTAATTAAAAAGGCCAACTATGGGACTCGACATACTAGGAACAGATAATTCTCGAAAAATTCCGAAAAATTTTCTATCTGGCCATTCGGCAATTAACATTTAATTTTATTAGTTTTAAAATTGAAAGGATGTTCAAACAACACTAACGAGTTTGTAATTAAAAATACTTTATTTTTGTTCTTTATATGGGCATATGAGAAACCAATGAAAAAATTTAAAAATTTAAAAATTAAAACATAATACGGGTTGTCAGTTTTTACTAATTATAATTTTTTTATATCGCATTATTTGGAAGGCTAAAACAATTTATCGCACTGAGGACTTAATATAATTTATATATTGATTGTGGTGATTATTCTTCTATCGCCTACTTCTTTTAGACTGTGTTTCGGTGATTGCGATTCTATTAACCGCGCATTTTACTTGTATTTTGAATAGGCAATATTTCTCTCTCCTATGTTAGCTAGGTATGGATTATATAGTGCGATAAAAAAGTGTCTCGCAGCGTAGTCACCATTAAGTGGCTGGCCTGATTTGCCAACTTGTTAAATTGGCAAATCATGGTTAAATGGTTAAAAAATGGTTAAAAAATTATGACGTCATAATTTACTTTGTGTCTTTGGACGCGCCACGTCGTTATTTCGTTGGTGGAAGCGCCTGTCGTTTCCACGCCCAGTGCGAATGAACTTCAAATCGCACTGTGTCTATTAAATCTTAAAACCATAAGATTTACGTTGATTTTTGTTTATTTCTTTATAGGTGGATAATGGTTTTGAGTAAAGGCTCTTTCTCACTTATGGAAAAATCCGTAAAACAAATTTTGAGAAATGTTTCTTTTCCGTACCATCAAACCAGTGCAGAAAGTCGTGTCGAGCAACTTCTAATTTTTCATTTACAGAATACGGAAAAGGACTTTCTCGCACCGATAGCAATCAAGTAGAGATTTAAGTCGTCACCATGCGTAGTCTCGCCTGCGTGATAAAGAGTTTCGAAAGAATATAGAATTTAAAGCAAAAGAGCAATCGGCATTTATATAAGTGAATGTGGAATCGTCTAGAGAAGAGATTCTCATCAATTGACGCACAGGCGTGCCAACTAAATTCTACAATAGCGTTTTCCTCCATCTTGTCCGTATCGGCTGTTACGTCGTTACAATAATAACCAATATCCCATTGCTTAAATTCTTTTCCGGATCTGACGAGGACCCGATGTATATTTCGGACGGGACCGCTGTACAATTACTTTTCTGTATTCTTTTTCCGCATTATTTTTCCGCGGTGATTTTTCTTGTGCGAGAGCGGTCTTAAGAAGAAACGAATCGAAATTGTTTTAATCGTAAACACCAGAAATCAGAGAAAAGTATTTGACAGGCTGCATTTAGACTTCCCACCCGTCACTTATGGCAATTTGGAGAATAATTTCCCGCGGAAAACGGAAATTTGAATACGAAAGAAAAACATAGACAAGGACTATTTTATATTGATTTTATTTCAGATACATTTCAAGTCTCAAAATTAATTATTTATTACAAAAACTCCATAAAGAAAAGTGGATAGATGCGAATGAAAAACGGTTTATATTGGATCCAGCAAAGAGCGCAACGCCTATTTTAAAAATTAGATTCAGAACTCATAAACCGGGGGAAAAATGTAGACCGTTAGTAAATTTTCGCAATTCTACTTTGTACGACGTAAAAGAATATCTTGAAGAAGAAATTACACGGTAGCCCGTACTCGGATTACAGAATAACACGGCAGACGAGTTAATTAACTAACAGAACATTAAATTTAGTTGTAAATGATGCTACCAAAGTAACAGTTAATTTTTTAACATTATACAAGAATTGTACATGTTTTTTTTCTACATCCCCTTAAAGATGGGACATACGAAATCATAATATCACTGGTTTAATCCGTGAGTAATATAAAATCGGAGAGCGGAATAAAAATATCAAATATTTTAATGGATCTTTTTAACCGCTGTCAACTATACAGAACTATCATAAGAACATACCAGTAAATTCTTATCGGTTGGGTTAAATTATCAATCTACTCGAGATTCACGTAATCGGGCGAGGGCAACCAAATATCTAACGGGCGGGCGGCTAACGAGCGGGCGGCTAACAGCCCAGAACCGGTCCTGGATAGAATTGGAAGCGTTATACGTGTGTAGCATCCACCCAAGGTCCTAGGCTTCCACCGGTTAAACCGGGTGAGGTTCGTCCTCTGTAAAGTGCATGCGCAAATCTGGCTTTTTGGATGCTGACGATACAGCGCTTCCACTCCGCAACTAATATTCGAATATACAATAGCGATCTTATTTTTTTTCACGTGTAGTATAGAAATTTGTAATAAGATACATAATGCGGTTATAATAAAATATTGTGCGATTATTTTCATATAATTAAAATTAATATGTATTTATTTTTAGAAAATACAAGGGAAGCGGCGCATCCACCGCTTCCAATGACGGCACGCCACTGATAGGAACTATTGCTTTTAGCAATTATATATTAAGGAATAATCTGTACTTTTTGAAGAGCAAAGGGCCATTTTTGGTTGCCTTCGCAACATTTCTATATTAAAGACGAGGACGACCTTATGAATCATTTATAGATTTAGATTTAGCATCGAAGAATTAATATAATCAGGATATAAAGGTGACGATTTATACGAAATTCAAATATTTCGTGTCTATGCTAAGTTGATATAACTAATGAAACGCTATTACAATGTTTGAATATCTTCCCGAATCTATTGTCCATACAACACAAATATGCGAAAAATTAGATTTTGACGACGTAGTTAAGGGTTTGTGTCTGGCCCCGTTAATCAAAAATAGGAGTAAATGAACACGTTTCCCAAATAGAATAACAGGGCTAACGAGAAGTGTATCTTAGACAATGCGATTATTGTTTTAAAATGAGCGCACCTGTTTTCGCATGCAATAACAAAATTAACGTATGGTTATAGTTATAAATTCAAACACTTCTGGTGAGAAAGATTTGCCACAACTTCACAAATGTTCAGCTGATTTTGTATTAAATTAAGCATATAAAAATTTGGAGGGAACTAACGGAATTTTAGCACGACTTTCCTGGTGACATTAAGCATCAGTTTAATTAATATTCAAGTTGCCGATAAATAGTTACTCGGCGGGTGTGATTCAGCAGATTCACGTTACAATACACGCTTTGTTTTATAATTATGTATACGGAATCATTTCTAGAAATGGCCATTAAATAACCATCTCTCCCGCTATTACGGTATAAATATCAAGTTGTTGTTGTATTTTCGCCAAGTATTTGCTTTAATTTCGTTTTATATTCCCGTGTAAGATCTTGGTTAACGCAAAATGTCTATATTTACACGTTTGTATTTCGTGCCGCCATCACGTCAGCACCACGTGCATTTTTCGAACCGTCTTTTATTCTAACCCCTATCCCCACGCCGGTGTGACGTGGCTTTTTAATCTTTATTATACACGCGTCAGATTCTGAAATTATAAAAAAAATCCAAAATTCTTCTTAAATTCCCGCTTTTTTTAACGCGTAACAAACGAATTCAACAATTGATGTTGTTGTTGTTGCGTAGTTTTGCTCTTGGACGAAGAGTGCGATTTGGAAAGCGATTCGAAGATGTTTTTTGATGGTAGAGAGTATCGACCCCTGCCCCATCCTCCTGGGTAAAAGATTTTTTTACATTTCATTACTATTTATTCGGATAAGAAATTGGTTTTAGCAATTAGAGGCTTTAAAGAAAAACTTTCATCTACAACATATAATTAGGCCTAATTAGATTAAATGTAAAAGATTGACTTTACGATTTTTGTGTCTTCCTGTATTGCTGTATTGCAATAGAGGGCTTTATAAGGCACAGTTCGGGGCCTGGTGTTAAGAAGATAATTTAGGGCTTTACAATTTACTGTTGTTTAAACGAGTAATCGGGCCTCTTTTATATCACGGATTAGGTCGTTAATATGACGAAATTTACTAAAATTTTAAACCCAACTTTGTTTCAATATGTTCAACATGTCAATTATAATATTCAATATGTCTTTTTTTTAAAATAACAGAAAAAGATTTAGACTAGTCGATTTATAAAAGGCCCTTTCCTTCTGTCGAATAAACTTAAAAGCACGGGATCTAATGTACTTTGAGAGTAGAATTAAATAGTTAATGTATTGTGAATTTTCTCTTTGCATATTTAGGGAGGGATTGGATTATGTTAAGTTTCGAGGCAGAAAGTTGAGGAAAGGCCTCTCGAAGCAGTACGAACCCTCGACCGGTGCTTTCGAAGGTTTGGACGTTTTTGAAAATAACATCAAGCCCGCTTATAGAAAAGCTGTGATGAAGGTTCGACCAATCTGTCAGACGGCCTGCCAACGTTTTAACAGGTAAATTACATTACTATTCGTATGTAATAAACTTGTGTATATTATATATGTACGAGCTGTTTAACGAGGGGTTATTCTGAAAAATACGAGGAATCATCGTTTTAATTTTTCAATAAATAGTAATAAGTTTAATAGTTTCTTGCCCTGATGGAAAATTAAAGAAAATGTTTTCCAAGTATTACCATTTATAAATATTCATCGTAATTCAATTCCAAAATTATATATTTATTGTATTTCTTTCCTTGTTTAGTGAGAGATTGGTCGAAGATGTGGAGGATGAAGGAGTCAACAATAGAGAGAGCGTGATTCCTCCACGAAGCACCAAAGAGAACGAAGACCAGGCAGAGCACGAAGACTGCGTGCAAGATAATCCTGGCCATTCCAGGGATAGAAATACATTGAAGAAAGTCGGGTCATTCTTTAAGAGCATGTGGAAACCCGTTAAGAGGTAAGATTTTGTACGATTTAGCCTCTGAAATTGGCAATAAATCGAGTGTGGCACTATGCCCAAGTATCGATTACGCCAAACATTTTTATAGCATTAAGATTTGAGTTGGAAATGTTTACGAATCGCATAACTTTCCCGTATTGTTCGGCGCTGTATCGGCCTATTCGTCCGTGTCATTACTGATTGGATGAAAAGTTGAATTCAAAACGTCACCGAACCAATGAATTAGTAGAAAATTTCATAATACAACTTTCGTTCTTTGTAGGCCAACATTTACAGCCCATCGATACAGCGCCGCAATATGTTTTAATGGAATTCAAGTGGATTTATACGTTTTCCATGAATAATTATACTTCTTTTTCTACATTTAGATCCGTGCAGAAGGTGTGTAAAATGGCCAGAAGTGAAGAATGCGAGTACGTTCGGTTCGAGTAAGGATCTCTGCTTCCATCTCTCAAATTCGACAATAAAATCTGCTCTGTGATTTGCTGGATCTGGACTGGATCTGAGTTGGCTAATTGTAAGTGTGTATGGTAACTTTATTGTATTCTACACCAAACACTTGGGAGATTTTACGGTCTGGGTTTATAAATGGCACAATATCTAACCGCGATGTCATAATAACCCGCAATTAATGGCCGGACAACAGAAAAAATGGAAATATTTATGTACGGTATTAGCGTGGAAATGTATCATATTTTGATGAGATCGATTTCGATGCGATGACAGAAAAGCCACGTTTTTAGGGTATCGGGCATACATAGCCTGTATATTCCTGTCCAAGTAGCCTACTCACAATAATACATCCTGGGTATAAGTTGCTGGTCTCTTGACACAGAGAAAGCAATGGTATAAATGAACGTAGAAATTAAATTATCCAGTAATCTTACGTGATTACGCGGACGGGAACATGTTAAAATAATGGAATTGACAATGACATATTTGATACATACATGACACGTGGCAGATGCGGTAAGCAATATCATTTGGCACGTAACTTTATTTCCATTTTAGAAGGAAATAATATTCTTAATTTTGTTTTCATTTAAAAATATTCAAAAAATAACAAAAAGAAATGATAAAGTTTAAAAATTAATAAATAAAATCTAAAAAGCTCCTAAAAATTGCAAAAATAATTTTCAATTTATAAGTAAAAATTAAAATATTGGTTTTTCATTCACTTTTAGATATGGTTTTTTCTGCAAACCATCGATGACTTCTCCTGATTTTGACATCCCGATTGCGTCAATGCCAAGTTCGATTATGACTTCCCAATTTTGACTTTATCCCGGCTGTGTCTCCTTATTATTGTCTTTTAGTCAATTATCATTTACCCGAATTGGTCTACACGAATTTGGACTCTCGATTTATGTCTACTTCACGAATCTGGACTCTCCCGAATTACGTCTACCCCGAATTTGACTCCTCAATTGTGCCTGTACTCGAATTGGACTCTCCCGAATTATGTCAACCCCGGATTTGACTCATGAATGGTGTCTGCACTCGAATATGGACTCTCCCGAATTACGTCTATCTCGAATTTGACTTCAGAATCCTGTCTATATTGGAATTTGGACTCTTCCGGCTTGTGTCTGTGCTCAAATTTGACTCCCAATTTTTGTCATCCCTGGAACTTGGACTCTCCGGAATTGTGTTTTAATTTGTTATTGGAACGACACGCTCAACAAATTGATATTTGTTATTCAGACACTAGTAAAAGGATTAATTGCAAAACAAATTTTTTATACATAAAACGTTTGATAAATTAATTGATTATTAATATATTAATTAATAATTTTAATCTCAATTATAAATTCTTGTATATTTATATTTGTAAAACATTAATAGTAATTGTTACGGCCTAATTAAGGCATCCAAGCGATAGTCGAGAGCTCTCGCACACATTAAAATATGTGTTTGGACCTATATAAATGTTATTAAAAGTTTGTTTAAAAATGCCTCCATAAAGAATAAAACTTATGTAATTTGTAAAAACATAATGTTTGCAAAAATAAAACAGTTTCTGCAGATCTAATCTTTTTCTGTTCTTTTGTAAGCGCATTCCTTTTAAGAAATGATAATTTTAGAGAAACAGTTAAAGTGGCAAAGGCACACTTGCCACTCCGAGGGTTTTATTTATTTATTTTTTTTCACTCGCTCCTCTGAGCACTAACAAGTAAGAGGGCCTCTTTATTTAGCAAGCCTGTTGCGGGTTATGCCAAGCCACGTCAGGCGTTGATCAACGACGACCCATAAATACTCGAGGTTCTGGAATGTTGCTAATACTGTTATTGTGAACTAGCAGATGTGCCCGGAGTTGCTTAGAGAAAAAAGTAACGATAGCAAAGATTAAGGTTTGTAGATTATAGCCGATCTTACCCGTTTCCACCGAGTGTAACAATTAAGTTACGGTACTAAGTATAAAATTTTTAACTATCTGCTTATCATACTGGGATAACGATAATTAAGTTTGACAGCAACCACTAACCGGTGCGTAGAACCGCTAAGTGATGAATAACGAACGTTTTCGTAACCCCTTTGGCTTCTTTTTCAGGTTACTAAATTCGATAAATATGCTGGATCTTCCCAAATCATATAAATATAAAATCGAACATTAAGACGAAGAGTTGGAATAAAGCCAACTTATGCGCATGCGTTCTCCGTGTAAACTTTATATACGATGGAACATTAAATATCGTTGAGAGTTTTTAGAAGGGTCTAAAAATATGTTCGATTTCTTGCACAAATGCAGAAAAGAGAATAATAGAATAATAAGAATAATAGAATAATAGAAGCCATATTCTTCACGTTAAGGCTTAACGGTGGCGAAAAAAAACAAGAGTAATAAAGACAAATGAAATCGGAAATTACCACAATACAGAGGACAAAAGGGCAAATAAAACGATAAGTGAGAAGACAACTTACGTTCGGCCGAACCTCGGAAAAGCAACTAGAAGTACCAAATTTCCGGAAGCCGTAGCTCTGGAAAAAACACTCGATCCGGAAAAGAAGAAACGCTGTTCGAGACAGCTCGACGAAACGAAGCAGAAAATGTATATATATGCAGAAGAATACAGAAAACTCTAAGAAAAACTTTACGAAACGAAGAACTGACGTCTTGGGTCATCCAAGACCTCAGTTCTTCAACTCAATCGATACTTTTGTCCTGTTATTCTTACACTGCAAAAAACTTTTTGTGTCGTTTGGAACCGAACAGTGGCGTAGCGTAGTAGGGGCGGAAAAATTACCTTTAGCGGGCTGCAAAATTTCACAATAAATAATAATAATATCTTGTAAAAATTTGAACCATTTTATCCCATAGTCTCGTCGCACCTACGATTCNAACTGTTTGTGTCGTTTGGAACCGAACAGTGGCGTAGCGTAGTAGGGGCGGAAAAATTACCTTTAGCGGGCTGCAAAATTTCACAATAAATAATAATAATATCTTGTAAAAATTTGAACCATTTTATCCCATAGTCTCGTCGCACCTACGATTCAGACAGATTGAAATTAGCACTGAATAGTCCGGGATTAGACTCACCATCCGGGTGAACTGTTAATTTCACTCGTGCGCACAGCCTGTCGACCTTTTTTTTTTTACTTGTACGATTCATTTGTTCTCATATACACCTCCAATGTTCAATGGAGCTATTTTGAACTGGTGGGTACACTGGCAAGGAAATTTTCACTATTTGTTCTTCTGAATTTTAGTCTTTTAAATTGAGATACCTAAATAACGGGACGGCGAAATTTTCCTCCGCCCCGGGCAGCTGACACCCACGCTACTTCGCTGGAACCGAAGAAAAAGTTTCAATTGCACATGAAAAGTCGAAAAGTACAAACATTATTTCCAGACTTTTCAAACATCCTTTATTTTTTTTTTTTATAATTTATGTCTTCAGGTTGGTTCAAAAGATACGATGGAGCTATTCCTCCCTATTCAGTGTTCTCATTTTCCTAAACATATCAAAAACAAATGGCAGAAATAAACAAATCTAACGGCAAAATTTCAGAAATTTTAAAAATTCTCAGCAGATATTAAGCTTCAAATTTCGTAAAAAATATCTTGCCCCCACAGACTATTATTGATTTTTACATTACGCTATAGGAGAAACCCCCGAATTACTGGCACTGCATCTGGTAATATGTGCACATCGTCCACTTTTACATTGGAATCAATGGAAACGTTTGGCTTTGTTCGGTGCCGCCGTTATAGTCGGGCAATGGGCCCCGTGCCTAATAGACGATGTATGGAAGAACGTCGTGTATAAAAATAAAAGAACAATGTTATGCGACCGCCATTGATATCGGAGATTGTAACTTGGTAAGTTATTTTAAGATTTTACATCTTTGTTAAAAGAAAAAAATTCTTACTGTATGCTACAAAACAATTTTATCGTTTATAGACTAAAGATAAATTTAAATCAATATAATATTTTGATATTAAATTCGAAACTTTTATTTATAAAAAAGTCGAGAAGAACAAGGAAAAAACGTTTCCTTTTTGAATGTTCGTTCCTGAGAGATAGGCTTACCAGACGTCCCGTTTTGACCGGGATTTGTGGTCCCGGCATTCCGGCCAGTTTGTCATTTTGTCCCGGTTATTGGGTTAAATTTTAAAAATGCCGACTATACAAGAAGTAAAAATAGTGTAGATTGGGTAAAATGGCGATTTGGCAACTAAATAATCACTTCTGTTACACTCACTGTTGCCAATCTAAATGTTTTGTATCTCGATCTAAGTACAGTGATACTCCGAACTTACGCGATAGATGGGACCGAGCGATAACCGCGTAAGTCGGGGTATAATTTCTCAATTTGTGTAAAATCCAAGTCGGATGTATGTAAGCTAATAAATGTTATCGTTAATCTTATCTCGTCTTTTGATTCGTTCTCGGTTACAAGAAATCACCACATAGAGTTTCTGAAGTCTCCGTAGATATAACAAACACAAAATAAATTGTAGCTATGTGTCGATTCCACGTGACACTTCCGAACATGTAAGCCGAACAATAGTGTGGGGGAGTGAGTAATCAAGAGTTGCGTGCCGCTCAAACAAAAGACAAATAGACGAGATTTGAAAATCGCGTAAGTCGGAGTAGCGTAAGGGTGCGATTATGCAGACGCGAATTTAGAGCGAGCGAGAGGTTGCGAGCGATTTAGTTTCCGCAAAGAAAAACCATGCACAAACGAGAAGCGAGAAATAACGCTAGCGAGAGCGAATTTCTGATTCTCGCACATATCTAACAGGTTTTGATATTTATCGCGTCTCGCCTCTTCTCGCCACATATTCTCGCTCGCTCGAATCTGCATAGTCGCACCCTAAGTCGAGGTATTACTGTACTGTATTTTTAAAGTACGCTGTCTAGATATTTTCCTCCCTAATTTGTAGCATATGGCCTAATGAATTTCAAGTAATTAAAAATCACTTGAAATGTGCAAAACATTACTAATAGGCTTGCCTTATGTGCGAAACATAAGGCAAGCATAGTAGCAATAGAAACTTCCTCAAATATACTACCATATTTTAAAGGTATAGATTTAAGTAACGAAGAATTTTTAAAAAAGTTCACACTTGTGATAGCCTAATAAGTTCTTAACTCTCGTATGACTAAATATATCACTAATAGGACAAATCCTGACATGGTCAAAATACTTAATTCTTATTTTAAGAGAATATTAGTATAAAAACAGTTTACACGCCAAACTCAGGGCGTATAAGTTTAAAGTTGTCGCTATATCTTAATTTTGTGTCTGATCTCTGGTTCCCAACTTCCGCTTCCCGAGGACATAACTGAGGTATTATACTAATATACCAGTATTTATTGTAAACTCTCTCTCATATATACAGCAATACTATTTTAATTAGCTAAGTCTTTTTTTTAACTCTTTCTACCCTGTGAGCACTAAGAAGGTCTCTTTTTGCAAACCCATTATTCAACCCGGCGCCCACAATAAGGCTGCCGGGTGGTGAGGGACGGGGCCCTACATATCCGAACAGACCATTCCCCGAAAAAACCTGGGGATTTTACGACCTGTTCAGTTTCGAACCCAGGTTCCCCAGAGCAGTTGGCTGCCGCCTTAACCGCTCGGCCATCCGGCCGCTAATTAGCTAAGTCAATGCCCTTTAAGTTACTTTGTATATATCCTTTTATATTTAATCTTTTATTTGTTTATTAAATATAATTTCTTTGTTAAGTTGGAAGTAAATTCTCATACTAATTAATTAAATATCGGACACTCTATCGACGTATCTATCGCACTCCCCACTTGTAACTAATAGCCCTCCTATATTCCATAAATATCCTTTAAGGTTTAAGCCATCCAGTGACAGTGTGGGTTTCACCAACCTGTCACCGTTAAACGTTTGATTTATTGTCCTAATCGAACCCGGTTCCTCACAAATTTATATTCGAATATACAATAGCAATCTTATCATTTTTTTATACATATAGTATTGTAATTTTTTGTAATAAGATACATAATGCGGTTATAATAAAATATTAATTTTAGTTAATTCAAGGTACGTTAAAATTTGAAAATAATCGCACAATATAAGTTTATATTTTAAAAAATACAAGGGAAACGGTGCTTCCACAGCTTCCATGGACGGCACGCCACTGGTTGTAATGGTCATTTTTCGGAACTTCGCGTTAAAAACTATAAAAATTAAAACATAATCATTTTATTAACGTATGAAATTATTAAGTTATGATTACGATATATATATTCAATTTTAAAATTAAGCATCTCCATAACACAGTAAAACCTGTCTAAACAGACTTTTTTACAAAACGAAAAACTGCCTATACAGAAAATATATCTCAAAACAACGATTATCATTATAGAGTACTACTATAATCTAAAGCGGAGGTGGAATACTTTTTTGGATCCAATTGCATGTATAACCAGAGATAAGTGGAATTATTTGGCGTAACAACAGTTTAATTCTAAATCATAATTAAAATATCTATAAAAACCCAATATTCTTGGAATGTGTATTCCAAGAATATTGGGTTTTTATAGGTATTTTTAACTTGTCTTTGAAACATAGTATAAACTGAAACCTTTTAATTAAATTTATGGAATTTTGGTACCAAAAAGTTTGCGAAGTACTGATCTATTATACATAACATACCTTCGTAAAAGTTGTGTATTTTTTACTGTTTCTTTAAATCAATCGAACGACTTTGAAGCAATTTACAAATTTAAAACGCCCTTTTAATAAACAGCGCATAGGAGGGACTCGTTAAGAGGAAAAAAAGAAAGGAGAAAAGAAAGAATTTGGAAAGATTTAAAGCAAAATAAATTTAACAGAAACAAAATCAACGCTCACATTTTTGTTGCTTTTGCAGATGTGCTCTGTAGACTCCTCTGCATTTCATTTATGAGTGTGCAGATCTTTGCTCAGGTGAGTGTGCAGATCCTTGCAGATCTCATCTTTACTTGTTCATATGGATTATTTGTTTTAGCTTTGGTGAGATTTCCAGAGATCTAATGTCTTTTTTTCAAACAGTAATTTCTTGTAGGATGCGCAATGGGCCTTTCAGATTGAGGTGCCGTTTGGCCTACCGGTTCCCATCTGTACAACAAATAAACAAAATTAATACGTTTTCATTAAAAGCTGTTTTTGTTTCTTGCCGTACGCACTTGATTAGACTCACAAGTTTAAATTCTCCCACAGGCTCGAATAAATCCACATCCCACATCCCAATAGCATTTTAAAAAATAGATCCACATGCGGTTCTATTCAAATATGTATGTTATATTCCTTGCTTATTATTGAACAAACTTTTATAAAAGCCGGTGAACAATCGGCATTATTTAAAAATACTAAAAATTCAATTTTACCGACATTTTTTTTTTTTTTGAAATTTCACTGTTAACAATTTTGCATAACCTTCGGGCCCCTTTTACAATCGAGCCTGCCTGCACAGCAATCATTTCGCATTCCCTAAAGCTGACTCCGTGTCTAGTTTGCTTAGGCCTAAGTCTAGTCTTGGCACCGGACTAAATGGTCTTCTTAGCACCTAAATAGGTCTTGCCCAAGGACAATATACTACAAGGATAGCCAGATCCCAATTCTACAATGTTAGCCATGAATGGCAAGTTAGTGACGTCACACGTGTCCTGACCTCTTTGTTTACCTAGAGCAGGGTGTGCACGTGTTTAGTTTTCGCTTTTAATATTCGTCCAATTTTGTGATTAACGAAGTGATTTATTTTAATATTTCTGTAATTGTTTTATTTGACTAAGTTTTTTATAAGGTAAGATGATTTAAATATAAGTCATTAAATATTTAAAGCTATATTTTTATGTTAGGTGAAGAACAAAATGCTGAGTACTAGGTGTGCTGTGTATGGTTGCAATAATAACCTTCTTTTTTCAAATTGGAAGCAACCTGTTTACATCGGGTTTGATCAAAAAATGACAAGAGAAATACTTTTAAAATTAATAGCAGAACTTTATTTACTATCGTATAATGTAGTAGCTTGCGTCAGTGACTGTAGTTGCAGTAACATAAGTTTATGGAAAGAATTGAATGTGAATATCAATGAAACGTTTATTATGAATCAATTATTATTATCAATGAAACGTATATTAGAGATATAAATATGTGGTTCGACATTTTTAATAGCTATGCACCAAAAGGTTCTGTTCCAAGCAAAAATGGATATGGTGTAGACTTGGAATTACAAGAAGAACATTTAAATAAAATGATAAAAATAATCTCAACAATGAGAGCAAGTGGAAAAAATGCCCTCCAAATTTTCCAGAAAGGAATGATAATCTCAATGAAATCGCTAATTGATCTTTTTCAAGATATGAAATCGACTTTTGATATAAAATACATCTGCACTTAAATCAAGATTGTCTGGAAAAATTTTTTTTTTCAAATTAGAAGCCGGGGTCCTAATGAACATCCAAGCCCATTAAATGCTATATATAGGATTAGATTGATTATTTTAGGTAAGAATCCTGGTATTTTAGAGTCAAAAGTAAATACTACAGATCGAAGACAAGAGGAATATATTATACCCAAAGTTTTAGAGAAAGCACATGTAGAAGTATCAAGTGAAAATACAGACCAATATACTGAATGTAAAACTACTTTTTCTTCAAATAAATCTTCAGGAAACTCTACATGCAATCTAGACTTTAACACAATCTCTGAAGAAACTTCCTACGATGCTCTCGAGTATATAGCAGGATATTTTGCCTATAAATATAAAGAAAAATACCCAAACTTAATTAATTCCACTAACAAAATTAAAAATCATTACAACTATAGCATTCCGTCATGGGTGCAACATTTATCTTATGGAGGGCTTATTAAACCTACTGATGAATGGCTAGCAAAAATTATAGAATGGAATAAATATTTCGAAATATATCACGATGAATCGTATAAAAAAGGCCCCGGAGTTGTACAGAATTAGTCAGTGGAAACAGTTTTACCTTTTACTTTAATAAAAGATTTTTGTAAATTAAGAACTATAATAAGAATTAATTATAGAAATCTTAAACAAGAAAACTATAAAATATTGAAAAGAATGCCTTCTGAAAATGGTGATTGTCGAAAAAAAATTAAAAAGTTAAGTAAGATAATCACATAATAAAAAATATAGCTCATTAATTTGTTAAATAAATATTAGACAAAAGACTTGTAAATTTATTGACGTACAGTACACTTATTAAATCCGAAAATTCTACAGTAGTTTACATTTAGTAGTAATTTAATAATTAATTAAGAAATGATTTAATATTTTATCGTATTTTGTTATTTGAAAGGTCTGTGATGTTGAAGTAGAAGACTTGCTGTGACGTCACATAGATCCAAGGTCACGCTAACAAATATACGGGATCTGGCCATCCTTGTAGTTTAAAGTCCTTGGGTCTTGCCCATTACTTACATAGATAATGTCCAATCGTTAATTGTGATAAAAGGAATTTTAAATTAAACTTATTATTAATTAATAAGTTTAATTGAATATTAATTTTGATTCAGATTAATAATTTATAGATATTTTTTAATACACGATTTTGAAATTTAAAGCAGAAATATTTAACAATAGATGGCATCACTGTAACATTAATGGCATCTGATTGGCTGAATTCTGCTTCTACTCGTAATTTAAAAAGTATTAGTTGTTTTCGCTTTGAACGTGGCATTTTTATAATTTGCTTTTAAAAGTTATTTATTATCGTCGTCGAATATTTTAATGGAATTATAATCTCAACACAATAGAGTATTGTGCAGCTGAACTATCAACTTTACTTGAAATTTTGTATAATTAACAACGAAATGATAAATTATTTATAATTTATTATAAATAAGACTTAATTAAAAGCGTTTTTAAATTTAAATAAATTGTTACGAAAGTGATGGATTCGATTCTTTTGTATTCCAGTCAAAAAGGAAAGGGAAAAGTTTTATTTGAACAAAAGTATTCGATTAATGAAGAAACACGCAAAAAATTTACAATGAATCAAGAACAAAACGATTCAACGCATATTTATGAAGATAAAAGTCAATGTGCAATATCAGAAAATTCATTTAATAATAAAAGAATGACAAATTCGAATTTGTCATCCACAACTCCAAGTAAAAATTCCTTACAAATATCTTATAATCCATTTGAAGTGAAACCAGAAAGCTTACAACTTCATTCTTGTTCGCCTTCAGTGTTTACATCTTTGGAAACTAAAGAAAAGGTTGGTAGCATATATCACAGTATACTTTTACTTTGATTACATATTATTAAAACTTTGTCTTATGATTTCCTTTTAAATTTTATGTAACATGATATTTTAATTTGTGTATTAAACTCAAACAATTGATAAACATATTTTGAACCACATACAACACCTCATTTTGCCAAGGAAAATGTTTAATAATCACAAACGTTTTTGGTTTGTTCTACGAGTTTTATGTTATGTTCCATCATTAGAACACAACCTTCCAACAGAATTTTGATTATAATAAATTTAAATATGAATAAAAGAACACAAAACAATTTTTAAAAGACAAACGTCATCTTTTATTACTAATTTAATTTTTGTGTAACGTTCATCTTTTTAAAATTGTTGTGTGATCTTTTATTCATATTTAAATTTATTATAATCAAAATTCTGTTGGAAGGTTGTGTTCTAATGATGGAATGTAATGTAATGCTTGAAGATAGCTTGTGGAACAAGCCAAAAACGTTTGTGATTATTAAATGTTTTCCTTGGCAAAATAAGGTGGTTTACATTGTTGCTGAGGGTAAGTGGTTGAGAAATTTTATATGTTTGAATTACTTAAAATTATTTTAATGATATGAAATTATCGTCATTATTGAAAATGTATTATTGTTGTTTATTAGATAAGATTTTATTGTAGCTGAGTGAAATTAACACCAGCTAAGGTTGTAAATTATTTCTATGAGAGCAAAAAGAAGTATCTGGAATTGAACTTTGATGAGATGAATTCCTAAAACACAGACACCTTCTGTACTGGTTCCAACAGGTCTGTTTATTTGGAAAAAAAGGAGCATTCTATATGCAATGTGATGATTTTCAAATTCCTTTTTTTAAAAAGTTGTTTGAGTAATAGCATTTGATTTATGGAAATGTATAACAACATGACAGATCTCCAAAAGTGACCAAAAACTTTAATTTTTTTCCAAATAAATGGACCTGCTGGAACTAGTATGAAATGTGTCTGAGTGTTTATGTTATTTTTCAGCTTTTATTGTGTTTTTAATGAATCTTTTGGAGATTGACCTTGCAAAGATGAATAATTCACAAAAATTGATAAGAATTTAAAGAGGAGAAAAGGAATAGTATTTTTAAATACTGTTTAAAATCATTATTATGGAGAAAAATATTAATTATTTTTTTAATAGAAAATTAAAAATGGTTATAATGTGATTATAGATTGTTTTTAATTACAAATTATAATGTTGGCAATAAATTTTTTTAAAAAAAAGACGATTTATTGCAAACAAACTATTATTTACCAACATATTTAATTAAATTATACTAATAATATACTATTATCAATTTTTATTTTTCACTATCATTATACATCAGATTTGTCATTTAATAATGATTCATTTTTTTTTAACATCATTTAACTTGCTGTTGAAAATGTGTATATACTTGTCTATGGAAATACTATCTATGCTGCCAGAGTTTTTTTCTTTCATATAAAAATGATTTTAAAATATTCAAATTTATCACAGCAAAGTGTATTTTATCATAAAGAAAAATCTTGATTCTGCACTTTTATTTTATTCCAGTTTTGGTATTTCCAAATTTTTTTGCTTTAAAGTTGTGTTTAATCTTCCATATTATCATTGAGTTATCTGAATTCTGATGATTTAACAGAAAAACAAAATAAGAAACTGTTCATATTTCAATTAAATAAATTTTTATAATTTATAGAACTGTTCATACAACAATTAATCAAATTTTATTTTTGAAATTGTTTGTAATTTTTAGAAAATAAAAAATTTATTTCATTTTCCAAATTTAGTAGTTTAACAACACTTTATAAAATGTTGTAAAAAATAAAGAATATTAATTATATTTTCAGAAAAAGACTTTTCGATGGTCAATCGAACAGCTAGCAACATTACATCCTGTAGATATTGATGAAACTTCTCAACAGGAATCGGGACATGTCTAGTAATTATTTAATTAATACTTTTAAAATGTATTTTTTAATACAATAATTAATTAATTAGTTATTCTTATAATATACAGGATGATTATAAAAGAATACCCCAACTTTGAAAGCCTATTTATCTCCTACCAAACAACTATTGTGCCATTCCACAAATCATTGAGTAGGAAACTTCAGAATGTTTCCTATGCAATGATATGTGGAATGGCACAAATCATTGCATATATAATGAAATATAATTTTTTCATTTTGTTTTTTTTTTATATTTTTTTAAAAAATTGTCTGCATTTTTATAGGATTTTAGCTTGTATTCTTGAAATTTGGCAGTTTAATGAGCACTCTTGTTTTATAAAGCTATTTTTCTAAATATTACCTTATATTAAATAAAATAAATCTGTGGTTTCCAAAGTTGGCACTACCACCCCCTGTGGACATTGAGTAAATCTAGGGGGACGAAAAGAGGCAAGTACATGGCAGGGGTGCTGGAGGCAGGGTACTGAACAGTAACCATAGGCAGGGCCTAATTTGGCACAAGGTAGGCAAGGCACTTGCCCAGGGGCCCGTAATAGGTTCTAAATGGGCCATTGTTTTATTAGTATTGCAAATTACTATATTATTAGTGCCATAATCAAGGGTTAATAATTAAGAATGACATTATCTACTGCTCTGACATCTAACAACATCACTGAGAATTAGATAATGTTTGTATATGTGCATTAGATCTGTTCGGTGAAGTTCAGAATAAAGCAGTGTTTGTTGTAGAATTTCGCCGGATGAAAATTTATTTTAATCACAAAAGACACAGTCTGTCCAAAAATTATTTTTTGAAACCACCATTTATTCTGATCATGTGTTCCAGAACACCATCGACAACCCGACCTTTCTTTGTAGGCTACTAGGTCATCAGGCTAAAACATTCTTTTAAAAAACACACAAAAATATCCAATTAAAACATTAAAAGTAAAAAATTGGAACTGGCGGCCTTACAGACGTCTTGAACTTGCATCCTTTCCAGTTAGGGAATTTCAGTCCTTATATTCACTTGATAAATGCGCTGTTAAATGTAAATTTTGGCCTTATTCCTCTGGTGACGAATTACTTCTAAAAAAGTTTTGTTTGTAGAATTTTTGTAGAAAAAAAAATAATAATAATAATGTTTATTGCTGCATAATTTTATTATAGCCCCAAAAATACAATGTAAGTAAGATATTCAAATGTAAAAATAAAAATACTTTAATTTTAAATATTACAATTTTATTTATATTTGTAGTAATACAAAATTTCTAAAGGGACCTGTAAATATTATTTTGTCTAGGGCCTGCAAAGGTCTAAATTAAGCCCTGACCATAGGCAAGGGTTGGGATCACTGACCACCTTTCCCTTTCCTCCATTAAAATGGGTAAGAAGAAACATTGTGTTTAATGGTTTCCAACTGTGGAAAACAATGTACTGTAAGGACACAATGTGCATAGAAAAGTTTTTCTAAGAAAATTTTCCAAGCCTTTCTCATACAAGGGAAAATGGATTAGGAAGTATTGCGGTATGGTTGGGGGCATTGGATATTAGTTTATGAAACAGAGAGACTAGTGGTTTGAAAAAGTTTGGGAATCACTGAAATAAATTCTAATTTTTAATTAACAAAAATTAACTTACATGTAAATCTGTTAGTTAGTGCATTGTGTATCTTTATACAAAAAAAAATTACATTTGTAAATTGCAATTTTTATTTATTTAAATGATTGCTTTTTATTTCAATATAGTCTGGATTCAGAAATGGAAGAAAAAGCTCAGAAAGCAATTGAGACCTTTTTTTCTCAAAATAACGTTGTTCCTTCTCCTTGGGGAGCATTTGAAAAACACGTTACTTTTTCTCCAAATCTTGCAGCTACTGCTTGTAAGTATCAGGTAAATTAGATGATAAATCTTAATTAATTGTTAAGTAAGGTATGTAAACAACTTATTTATATACTTTACTAATGCTTGGAGGCAATAAATAATTATATTATTTATGTTTTAAGCATCAATTCTATAAAGGTGTATACTGAATCTTCAGTTCAAGGATTTTTTATTTAAACATTAAACTTTTGAGATTTTTTTATGTTATCATCAATCATACAAAAGTTATTTCACTCATTTTTCTAAATTATTTTATTATCTCAAATCCATCAATCAACTAAAAATTATAATTTAAAACAAATTTAAATTTAGTTTTTTATATTATATAAACTCTGTTACGTATAAAAGTCTTATGCATTCACATCTGTGAATGTGAATGAAACAAATAAACACGTGCACTTATTATATCAATATTCTATTGCTTTCAGTTTTATATATTTGATATTGATTATTTGAAATATTTATATTATGTTTATTCTTCTATAAATTAATATAAATACTACATATATACTGTCAAGTCTGCATAAGTTGCCACCCCAAGGGGAAGTAGAAATGTGTCAATTTATCTAATATGACTACTAAAAACAAAGTTGAAAAAAACCAAAAACTACAATTAGGAAAATACGGTAGTGCTTTATATAGTACATGCAATGTATTTCTCTGACCATCCATCACTGGCACTAGTGTTGGTTTCTACTCCAGGTATCTCAGTGATTTCTATCACTTTTTGTTTTGTTTAAGTATTGGTCCCGAAACAGGAAGATTCAACAAACAAATTTGCTTTAGCCAACATACCAGAGTGTCTTTGACATCTTTGTATGGCGACTATCTCTGGCATTATCGAGACAGCTGTGTCAAAGACCCAAGAAAAAGTTTCTTAATTTCCTCTTTTATCTTCAGAATTCCCACCAATGTTGTTCTTGAAAGGTTTTCTTATTTTGCAAATTTGGCTTTAAAGTTTTATTACATTTAAATTCAGATACAAGTTTGTATTTTTCTTTCAGTGTAAGTCTTGTTGGGTTTCGGATACTCATTTCTAACAGAAATATGAAACACTGCAAATAATGCATGAATGAAAGGTTAGAAAATGCAAAATTGGATTCTGCTGTGATGTTAAGCTGTGTGATGTGAATGCATTTTTTTCAGGAGGGGAGTTGACTTATCAGATGTCTAAATGAGTGTGGGACAGAAAAAGTATGTTGATTTATAGTGGTGACGAGTTAAACAGTGTCAAGTAAATCAGAGTTTTTTTAACATTAATGCCTACATAAGTCTGCTGGGACCACAGAAAACTGACTACTTAACCGATGGTGTCTAGTTATACCTATGATGACTTATGTAATATATATTATAATTAATATAAAATAATTATATTATAATTATATTAATTATAAACATAATTATATTTATATTAATGTCAGAAAGGATGATAGTTTTAAAATAAACAAAAACATTCATTACAGACTTGATGAAGACCTTATTATGTACTGTATAGGTTTTTTCAGAAATCACACTTTATTTTAACATTATTTCTATCAAACACCATATCAGATTGTAAAGGTGAAATTTAGACATTTCAAAGTTTTTCTAGAAATGGCTGGAAAAACTGTTTTAGATTGTTCAATGTGGTATATAAGTAGAGTAACCAGGGGCATTTCATAATACCCCTGGAATAGATGTATCAACAATATTTGGTAGTATGAAACTTTCTAAAGAACACATTCACGTGCTATTGCTCTGTCACATAAAAAATAGCCATGAAACATTTCAAAGGCTTAAAATTTCATCTGCAAAGCATTTGTTAAAGTGTTTGTGGATTAACAAAGGTTAACTAGTGGTTGCAAATGTCAAAGGGCTGATAGTTCAGAAGGCATTTTTTGGCATCATGCTGCTTTCAACCAATATCACTGACAAATCAAAATCAAGTTCTTTGATCTAGGTGTTCAAATGATCCTGTTGTTCTCAGTAATTTGTCCAAAAATTAACAAAGTTCAATACTGCAAAGACAATGTGCCAGTATGTAGAACAAAGATGATTTTAGAGTTGGTTAGTCTAGACTGGGATTAGAGAAGCTGGTTAATTCTGCACTTTATGAATTTTTTTCTAATAGACTTAATTAACAAAGTTTAGTTGTCCTTGTTTGAAAATTGAAATCTTTCTTTCAAATTTTCTTGCATACATTTTGTGATTTAAGAGTGACTCTTATAAATGTAAATGGAGTATTGTACTCATTTTTTGTATCTAATGAAAGTAATTTATTAATATCCCTACATATTTCTGATATGCAATGATGTAACTAATTGCTTATAAATATCAATGTTTGCATTATTTCAAGACTGTAAGAAATAAAAATTATTTACCCACTTCATACAATGATGATATTTCTGACAATTATGTTAATTTAGAAATAAATTTTCATATAATTGAATAGCAAATTATTTTTTCTACAAAGGTAAATATGGATATTAGACAATACTCAATTATAAAAATATTTCAAACAACTCTTGATTTTAAAGGTAGCAAAATACAAAACAAAAACCTATGTGATTAAAAAAAATTTTGTATTAAACCATAACATCAATAAATGTAATTAACTCAATTAAAAATCCAAATTCATATAAATTTTCAAAGAAATAATTCTTTGAAGAAATCATAGCTAACAAAAAACTTCAGATACCTTCAACATTTACAGATTACTTAAAATGAAACATTTATACTTATTTAAATATTACTGGATATGATTTATTTATAATTTACATGTTACATGTAAGTAGCAATATTTGTTTAGTGTAAATTAGTAAAAAAAAATGGCATGTAGAAAAGCAGTATGAATCAAATAGTTATAAAACTAATAATTGGCAAATCTAAAGGTGTTTGAAGTTTTTTTTTTTTGTAATTTATACTTTTTTAAGTATTTATTTCTTTAAAATTAATTCAAGCATTTGTATTTTGATTAAGTTATTTATGTTAATAATTTTTGTAAACAAATTTATTGCCTCTTTTCTTTTACTATGTTTAAAATCAAGAAGTGTCTGAAGCATTTTTTGTTTGCATTGTATTTGCATTTTGTTGAGAAATTATGACAGTTATTTGGGAGATATGTAATTGGTAGCTAAACTTGTTATTATATATATTTAAAATAACAAAATACTTACTTTGATAAATAAAAATTTATTATCTACTTGCTCATATATATATATAATTGTATTCCAATAAATCTAATAGTCTTAGAATATGTTACTATATATAAGACAACTAGCTTACCCGTCGCGCATTGCTGCGATCTCAGAAGAAAGGAAATTCAAGCAAACTCGTTATGATAAAATTAAATTTTCATTTTATCATTTTTATTGAAACTTATTATTATTATTCATTTTCATTGGGAAAACATTTCAAAGTGTTGTTTCAATTCTATTTACATATTTATTGGAGTGCTCGTGGATACACGATATTTTTTGTTTTTTTCGTCTGGTGCGTACACGAATAAATCGGAAGGTTTTCCGACGCATGAGCCGGCCACATACAGTTGTCTACGGGAGAAGCATGGATTCTCCAAATTTAGCCCACACACTCGCAGCGATTGTCAGAAGCACAATATTCCCCATTTATATATATATAATCCTTTATAATTTTTATTATTTAACTGCTTCTTCCTCTCTTCCTTGGCATGTTGTGAAATTTCTGATAATTGGATAATAAACCGTTTTATTGTAATTTGTGTTTTTAAATTATTTTGAGTCTATATTAAAATTTGAAAAAGGGGGATACCTAGATCGGTAAAATAGGCGAATTTCTTCCTACAACTTCGGTCATTGTTCGGGGTACAGTTAAGATTTTAACGAAGTTCGAGCGAATATATAATTAGCAAAAAAAGTCGAAATAAAGTGATTAAACAAAAATTATTATAAATATCGTAAATAACAGTTCACAAATGCATATATAGAGATATTTTTTGAAGGGGGAAATGGTCTTCACAATTTGAAATCGATCGAACACACTGTGCTCGAATGCTCGTGTAAACACGCGCCATCTATCGTAGGATAAATGTACTTCGCGGGAGTGTTTTAAAAAATTAAACAACTTCCCAAAGTTTCACGGCAATCAGATAAATGGTATGGTAATGCATGAAGGACACACACACACAGACAGACATACATTCATTTTTATATATATAGATTAGGATTTAATTTTCAGAACATGAATATTACTAGATAAATTACTAGATGCCAATACAGTATTTGCTAATGCAATCCTTTAAAACTCTTTCTCTAAAGTTACTTTAAGAAAATTTATCAGTAAGAATAAGTATACGTCAAACTTTTTTATAGCAAAAATATTTATATTTCATATTGTTTTTAATGACAGTTTTAAACTCAAGTTATTTATTGATACAGCAATATTAAATATTGGAATTAATTAAAGTTTTGAATAGCAAATTTTTACAATATTGGCATCAGTGCCTGCTTTAAGATTATAACTTCCATTTATTATTTGCTTCAAATTTATGATTTTATTTCTTCATAATAACTTTGAACTGAACTTTGAAATACTGTTACAAAAGCTTAATTTTTATTCAATTTTTCAGATTATACAAGACATGAAGAATCAACTAATGATTCACAAGATTACAACTCAAATTATAAGAAGGATGGTATGAAGTTTTTTAAATACTTAATATTGTACAATTAGATAAATAAATGTTAGTTTTAATAGCTTTATCTTTTAAATAATGAAAAAGTTTTAGAATATTTTCCTTGCTTCAAACATTAAAAATATAAAACACTATATGAAACAAAACACCAGTTTAAATTTACTAAGAATACTAAGTTTTTATAACAGAGTCAATTACAAAATATTTTAGACAAAACTCGATCAGAGTCTGTTATAATAATTTAAGAAATACAAAAATCATTATTTGATATAGATTTTCATATTACAACTTCAAAAAATTTATATAGAAAGATTTATTGTTATCATAAAATGATCCATTACATTATAAAAAAGTAAAGTGTACTAACATAAGAGTGGATCAATACTTCTGGATTTGGTCAAACTTTTGATATAATGTTTAAAGTAAAAGTATATGATTTTAGAATAGAGAATCTATTTTATACTATTAGAACCTATTTTGGAGAAAATTAATTTTAGTTTAAATATATTTTTAATTTAACATTTATTATATATTTTTTTATTTTATATATATTCTGATAGATGATATGATATCCATATGGTTAGTATTCTACATTTTGGTGATGTAGTTTTGATCATAAATAAATTTTTTTTTTATTTTTATTTTCAGTATGGACACAAACTATGTTAACCCTACCTCCAAATGTCAATCTAATGAAACTTTTAGGTAAAATATATATATATTGTAAATTTTTAAATAACTCATATAGTTTATTGTGATTAATTATAACTATTTAATTGAATTATTTATATTATTACATAAAGAAATGATCCAAAATATTAACTTTTCATAATTTTTGTTCAGGTTGATGTCACTTTGGGAGAACTAAGTTTGCTCTGAACAGCACTGACTTTCATTTCAGTGCAATTCAGACTGAGTAAAGTACTAAACAGATTAGTGTTCCAACCTGAATGCAACAATATTCTTTTCATTTAATGTGTTTTTAATTCAGTATATTATAAAATTAGAAAAAATATAATTTTTCTTTTTATATAAATAGAAACAAAAAATATATAAATAAAATATAAATGATTAAATACATTAATAATTTTTATAGATTGTCTTTTAAGTGAATGGGTGAATACATTTACTCATTCATTTTAAGTTTAGTTTGTTAACTAATTTAGTAATAACACTAAAGTTTAATTTGAACAGCACAAACTTTTTCTTGTAAATTTTTTATAAAAACCATTCTTAAACATGAACTAATGTTTAAAAAAATCCTTCTCTCAATAAAAGATAATAAATTAAATTAAGAATTTAATTTATTTATATTACACTAATGAAATACATTGCATTTTCAATCACCAAAGAATATTGTAATATCTACACTCAGCAATGAGTCTGCTATAAAATGTTCAGAGTGCTTATATTTTATTTATATAGATATGCTAAACACATTAAAGCATTGAATATTTTAGAGAAATTTGCATCTTATACTATAATACTAGTGGAGTTTAATATTGTATGTTTTACTTTGAAAAGAATGAATTCATCATTTATTGTGTGCAGGACTTGTCTAAAAAACTAATTCATGATTTTATGAATTGGTACTACAAGAAAACAGTTAAGCAGTTAAAATTCAAATTTTTAGTATTCCTATATTTAAGTAATCTTTATAAATTTTAAATAATTTATAGATATAAGCATTGTTCCTCTTAATCTACAGAAAATTTTTTTTCAATTTTGGTACTTTGAATAAATACTGTGAACAGGTAAATTTATATCAAGAGAAAGAAAAATAGTTGTTTGAGTTTGTAATTAGAACAGTGCAGGTAGTAAACAGAACTTCTAAGTTTATAAATGACTTGTAAGAAATTTATTCTCTAATATTTTTAATTAAAACTTTCAGTGTCTAATACATTTTTTTTTTCTTTTTTTTGAGTCAGATATCTCCATTATAAAGCCTGCATTTTGTTTTTCTCAAATTTTTTTCCTGAAAATTTTGACTTAGTATTTTTTAAATACTTTTAATAAAATCATATAAAATAGTTTATCACTTTGAATGAACATATCATGAATGAACTGGTTTATTAGTTAAAATAGTGTATTTAAAATTTATTTAATTATTGTTATTAGAATTAAAAATTTTATTGGATTAAATCAGTGATTTTCAACAAGGGTATTGCAAAATATAATGCTGAGCAGTGCCATAACACTTCCTACATATGTTGTTAAAGGGTAAGAAAAGCACAATAATTCTACATTGGTAAAGAAGTAGGGATTTCAAAGGTAAAAAATTTATCAAATTAAGGTGCCACTATTAGAAAAGTGCTGAAAAACATTGGATTAAATTACTTAATTGAAAAGTTTTTTTTTACTTGATGAATAATTATTGAAAAAGTGATTTAAATTTTCAGCACCTTACTTCACATTCAAAGAAGTCCCTAATAATAGTTATTGTAATGAAATAGAAGATGAATTATATAATGAGGCAGATTCATTGAGTAATTATTCATTAAGACGTAAACTGTTTTCACAAGGAACTGATAGATTTCTTGCTCATTCATTACAGTAAGTATATTATGTATTTGAAATATTTAGATAGTAATTCATTTTAATTAAAAGTAGAATAAATTTTTAAGATTAATTAATCTTATAAAAATTTGTACTTATGTTTTTAAAAATTAAGAATTTATTTGTTATAAGAAAACAGACTGAAATTTTATCATACTTGAGAAAACTTTGAAGTTAATTTAAGTTAATTTAATTTATTTAAGATTACATACTAATTATAATAAAGAGTCTGCAAATCCAGATTGCTTATGGATTGGGATGATTTAATTTTTGGGATTCTCAGGGATAACTTTCAAATTTAAACAGGGATGAAGAAAAAGAAAACAAGTATATCATAAATGACGTTTTTATTATGATTGCAATAAGAATGTATTTTGGAAATATAGAGATTATGATGAGTTTTTAAATGTTTTGAACAATTGTATTGGGTTGTTCAGAAAGTAATTTCGTTTTTTTTTTTTACCACTAGACAGATTAGTTGTATTTTTCTCGCCATTTTCATTCTAAACCGTATTATCATTATATATTTTGACAGCTAGCATTTTAAGGTTTATTTGTAAAAAATTTTGTTTGATTTTGTGCAATTGTTTATTTTTTGTGTCCCATCAAATATGGAACATCGAAAGCAGCATTTTCGGCATATTTTGCTCTTTTATTACCAAAAACGTAAGAATGCTGTTCAAGCGAGAAAAAAATTGTGTGACGTGTATGGAGATGATGTATTGACAGAATGACAGTGCCAAAACTGGTTTACAAAATTTCATTCTGGCAATTTCAATATTGAAGATGCACCACATTCTGGATGGCCAGTTGAAGCCAATGAAAACGAAATAAAGGTACTGATTGAAGCAAACTGCGAATAACAACACGTGAAATCGCTAAGAGATTAAATTTGTCAAATTGAACTGCTTACGATTACTTGAAACAAATTGGTTTCATTTCAAAGCTCGATATATGGGTTCCACATGTTCTTAGAGATATGCTGTCTTTGGTGGGATTTTAAGAAATTTTTTTTTTTTTGAAGCTTTTATCAGACAATTTAAAAATTGATTCAAGAGTGTACTGCCATTGAGTAAACAAATTGAGTAATATCATCAAGCAGAAAAGGCAGCTAGAATTGATCAACAAAACAGGTGTAGTGTTTTACCACGATAATGTCAAATTTCAGACAAGTTTGGTAACTCCTCAGAAACTGTTATAACTTAGATGGGACATGCTATCACACCAATGATGTTTGCCAGATCGAGCATGCTCATATTATTACTTGTTCTAGTCTATACAAATTTTTTTAACTGTAAGACATTTACTTGAAATGACAATGTCAAAAATCACTTGGATCAGTTTTTTGTAAGCAACGATCAAAACTTTTATGAATGTGAAATAATGCTACTACCAAAAATGACGACAACAGGTATTTGACCAAAATGGTCAATATATAATTCAATAAAATATTTATTTATTATAAAAATATTATGTTTTTTCCCCCCCAGAAAAAAACAAAATTACTTTCCGAACAACCCAATAGAATACAGCAATTATTCTTTGCTTTAGGAACTTATAATCATAATGAATGTGATCTAATATGGTACTTTGTTTACTTGAGTTTCACTGATTAAAGAATTTGTTATAATACAATGCTATTGTTGCATTTCCCAATAATACAAGAAAATAACAGGTCATAAAATTTACCCAAGTTTATTTTAAAAATTCAGATTTGAGGGATCTTGACTTTCAGACTTTTACATAATTCCTAATATTTAATAAAAGATACAATATGACATATTTGTGAAAATGTCAGAAAAATATAAAAAAAGTAAAGAATAAATTAAATTAAGAATTTAATTTATTTATATTACACTAATGAAATACATTGCATTTTCAATCACCAAAGAATATTGTAATATCTACACTCAGCAATGAGTGTAGATATTACAATATTCTTTGGTGATTGAAAATTATTTATATTACACTAATGAAATACATTGCATTTTCAATCACCAAAGAATATTGTAATATCTACACTCAGCAATGAGTCTGCTATAAAATGTTCAGAGTGCTTATATTTTATTTATATAGATATGCTAAACACATTAAAGCATTGAATATTTTAGAGAAATTTGCATCTTATACTATAATACTAGTGGAGTTTAATATTGTATGTTTTACTTTGAAAAGAATGAATTCATCATTTATTGTGTGCAGGACTTGTCTAAAAAACTAATTCATGATTTTATGAATTGGTACTACAAGAAAACAGTTAAGCAGTTAAAATTCAAATTTTTAGTATTCCTATATTTAAGTAATCTTTATAAATTTTAAATAATTTATAGATATAAGCATTGTTCCTCTTAATCTACAGAAAATTTTTTTTCAATTTTGGTACTTTGAATAAATACTGTGAACAGGTAAATTTATATCAAGAGAAAGAAAAATAGTTGTTTGAGTTTGTAATTAGAACAGTGCAGGTAGTAAACAGAACTTCTAAGTTTATAAATGACTTGTAAGAAATTTATTCTCTAATATTTTTAATTAAAACTTTCAGTGTCTAATACATTTTTTTTTTCTNAATTTCATTAATTTTTGTTTTATAGATATACCTGCTTTTTAAAAATTTTAATTAGTTCAAGCAATGTTAATTCATTTATATTGGGCTACCTAGTAAATCACAATAAATCCTTTCAGAATTATCCCATTCTAATATAATGGATAACAACAGATGCATGAATAATACAAGATTTTAATTTTATATAATTATTAAAATCTAATATATATATAATCTAGAAAAATAATAAGACATTTCAATAAATCATTTATTTATGAAACTTTTAGCACAACCAAATTAGAATCTTCTCCACTTACTCCCAAATCTCAAAGTGATCATGATGATAGCCATATTTGTACTCCTACCTCAGTAAGTACAATTAGTAATAAAATTTTATTTGAATACTATAAAATTGGAAATTATTTAATTAATCATCACATATTACAAACTATGCAGATTAATTCATTAATGCATTAAATCATCATTATTTACATAAAAATTATCCAATATTTGGTTGTTAATATAAAATAGCTTACTCTAGAATAAATCAATAAGGATATGAATCTTTCATAGCATAATTATATAATGGTTTTCAGGATTAGAAAAATTAAAGGATAAATTAAGATAAATTTTTACTTAGACTTTATTCATTGCGATAAAAATATTCAGATTCATTGTAACTAAGGTTGTTGATTAATCATGTTTTAACTAATACAATTAACTGTTAATTTTTTCAGGATTAAATTTTTCAGTTGTTAGATAAAATTTAATTGTATGCCAGAAAGATTTGGAAGTGAAATATATATCTTGAACAGATAGTATTGTGAATCAAATTTATATTTGAACCTAAAATTTGTAAGTCTTTTTCATCTGGTCAATTATGATCAGTTAATTTAATATTATTCTTTGAACTTTTAATTGATAGATCATCAACTGCCATGACTTAAAGTACAATATTAGTATAAAGTGATAATTTCTATGATTTTTTAATTTATTATTTTTTTATATTTTGAGTTATCAAGAATATCAACAAAAAATGTTTTTTAAAAATACTTATGTAGGCAAAAGAAAGTGTCTCATCAGTTATTGAAAGCAAACTTAAGCATTTTAAAACTGCTCGTATCCCAGAAATTTCATACTTTAAGTATTTTAAGAATTCTTTTTTTGAATTTTTCATCAATTGAGATGATGAATCTGAAGACAGAATCTGACTTACACACTTTAAATGAACATAATAATAAAGTTGAACTTAATATTAAGCAGAAGACTTATCTAATACAGTGGTAAGTAATATATATCATAAATCATGTCCATGTGGTTAGTAACATGAAATTTCATAGTCTGACATCAACTACTTCATAGTTATTTCTTGCTTGGTGCAATGTTTGCAAAGTAAAAAATAAGGTTTATTTACTAAGCTTAGGCTCGATGTAAAGTATGCTTTAGTTAGCACTTCAAACTTGAATAAACTTATTTTTTTCAGTAATTGATTAAACAAAAAGGCAATTAAAAATAATAACTGAAAATCAATTTTTCAATTGTAAGATTAATCATGGTTAAAATTTTAATTTTTTAACAGTCTTAACTAGTTACAATGAATTACAGTTATAATATATTTTTCAATTAAAAGATTTTGAACTAAGTAAATAGTATTAAAGAATTATTATTACAAAAGTCAATTATGCATTCCAATTTATTCTCTAAGTGAACACATCTCTAAAGTTTGATAAAACTATTTTAATAGAAATAAATTATTTTTTCAATATATGGTTTCTTTACAACAATTATTGTTGAGAATGAATAAGATATGAAGATAACAAAGATTTAGAGATTATAAAGAATATAAATAAGTATCCTAGCCTTAATACAAAATACAAAAGATTTTATTGTATATACATTATAATACCTGAATATAATGCCAAATATAGCCAATTTCTGACTACAATAAGTGAATACTGTTATGTGTATATACAGTACAGTATGTATGCATTTATACAAATCTAAATATATAAAATTACTAGTCCTGACTGACTGAGTCACTGATTCATCATCGCCTAGAGCAAACTGCTGAACCTAAAGAGGAGTTAGGGTACATCATGAAAATGCACACTAAGAAGGGATTTTTTGAAATTTCCCTGCGGGGGGAGAGGGAGAGCATTAAGGATTAACCAGAAGAATGGCTTCAACTGTACTATTTTAGATGCAATTTTTTGTTTTCAACTATGTTTAGTCTTCATTGAGTACTTAGGTGCATTAAATTGATAACATTTCAAACATTGTTATAAATACAGTAGAGCATCGTTTATCCGAAAGTCGGTTATCCGTAAGAATTTCAGTCGTGCTGTGACGCTGCAATCTTTGGCTATATCTTGGGCTACTCTAATATTTTTTATGTTTGTGTATGTGTTTTAGCTGGCAGCACTATCACTTTTGTGTGGTGTTTTTCTGAGGACTGTGTGTCATGCTGAATCGAACGTTTTTGATACTAGATAACTACTAAAGTATAAATTTTTTTTTGTTTTTATATTTTTCAATATATTTATTTTGTTTGTAAAAAATAAAGAAATAATTTTTAATGATACAATAGCCACAATTATTATTTTAAAAAGTTTACATTAGGCTTAACATCAGCGAAAATTCAACGTGAAGCGACACGCAAAGGAAAAAATTTCAACACGGGATAGGTTAATGTATTTTTTCGTACATAATCGGTTATTCGAAAAATAAGTTATCCGAACAACCCCAGTCCCCAATTGATTCGGATAAACGACGCTCTACTGTATTTTCATATATTTTGATTTTTTAACTAAATGTTCAAACCGTTTTAAATTTGAATTTGTTATTGCGTATTGGTTCAATTATAGAATGATTATAAACGTTTCAGAAAATTGATCAAATTGAAAACAGTTCGTTTGATTCTCAGCAGTAGGTGTTATATAACAATTACTATGGTTGTTGAAATACTGAATATAAATGGGGTTTGCTTGCAAAACCACCTCGGGCGAAGTCGCATGTAACAGCTATTTGTACAGAAATACAGCAGAATTTGGTTATAATAAGCATTATGTTCAGATAATTAGGCATTTTTAAGCTATTTTTTCATGCTATCAGTTTCTGTTATATGTTGTTGTACTATACATACTGGTTAAGATTGATAGTATACAATCAATCAGAATGATAACTGTGTAATCAGTCTTAACCAGTGTTTAAAATATTAAACATTAATATCATTTTAATCATTATTTTCTCATAGTAAAGTAGTTTAAATCACTGGCATTTTTTACTTCAATCATACATTAGTTGTTATTAATGACAGTGCTGGATGAAATACTATTAATTAACAATAATTAATAAATCTTCAAGTTATACATTTCTTAATTGTTTTAACCTGTTCTTTTAGTGTCAGAGTCAATAAAATCAGAATTTTCACTGTCTTATTTATTTATTTATTCTTATCATCTGGTTATCAGTATAAGCATTTCACAAAATGATTACAATAAGCAGATTCTGCTGTAAATAATTTCCAGATATGAACACTTTGCTAATATATATTTCAAAATTGATTATAACTATTTTAAATTATGTTTTACTTCTTTGGTCTTTTTATATTTCATTTAGATTTATTATAACTTAATATTATTATTTTTTTCCTGTAAGTTAATCGGAATGTTATTGTTTTTAGTCTCAATTTTCATCTAGTCAATTAACTCCTCGTAACTGTTCAGCGATAGTTGGCACTTATTGTACTCCACCAGAAATTTCACCAATTGGAAAATCGGTATTTCAAACTCCATCTACGGGTAAGTTAATTTCTTAGTTTTATTTAATTCAATTATCAACTTCTTAAGTTTAATAACTGCTAAGGGAGTATACAGTATTTTTAATCTATTAAACTGTTTTTGTCACGTGAAATGCCAATTTCTTTTTATGCAAAGGATGAAATAATAAAAACCATCATTTTAAATTTACTTAATTTTTTAAATTTGATCCGTAATTTGATTTGATCAATTTCATTTAACTCATCAATTTTAATAAAAGAAGAGAATTCTTTTTCATGGTGAACTCAGGATATATTCTTCCAATTAGAAAGTTCAGACTATGTACGAAAAATTTTTTTAATTTTTGAGTCTATCTAACAATCCGTTAACACAACCACAGAAGTACCCGTAACATTGTTGAAGAAAAACTTCAATAAAAACAAATAATGAATAGGTAAAAAACACACAATATTAAAAATGATCAAAACGTCAGCCTTTTATTTGAGGTTCTGACGTCTTTTACATTAAAAACAACAGGTCTTCTCACACTACCATCAAGTAGTTATCCAATTTTATCAGGTTCAAGCCCCCTGGTGGTTGATACGAGTCATCCTTACATTTGCATATAGGCAATTTCATGGTGAACTCAGGATATATTCTTCCAATTAGAAAGTTCAGACTATGTACGAAAAAAATTGCCTATATGCAAATGTAAGGATGACTCGTATCAACCACCAGGGGGCTTGAACCCGATAAAATTGGATAACTACTTGATGGTAGTGTGAGAAGACCTGTTGTTTTTAATGTAAAAGACGTCAGAACCTCAAATAAAAGGCTGACGTTTTGATAATTTTTAATATTGTGTGTTTTTTACCTATTCATTATTTGTTTTTATTGAAGTTTTTCTTCAACAATGTTACGGGTACTTCTGTGGTTGTGTTAACGGATTGTTAGATAGACTCAAAAATTAAAATTAAAAAAATTTTTCGTACATAGTCTGAACTTTCTAAGAGAATTCTTTATTTAATCTTTAAACTTTACTTTTGATTTTCTGTCATATGGCAAATAATTTTCTATACTCTTTTCTTCTGAACAAATAATGAAATTCTGCAAATGCATTTCAAGTATGCATCTCTTCTTTTCTGTTTGTTGTCTCAATACTAGCCAATTTTATTAATATTTCTGATTAATGAAACATTACTTTTTATATTCATCTAATAATTGATTGATTATCTATCATCAACACTTATCTAGGATTTGATTGATAGCATTCATAAGAACATTATAAAATGAATATTTATTGTATAATGAATCTTATTTTATTATTAGGAGTCATCAAAATGTGATATGTGAACATCAATATTTCTTTGTTAAACCTTAAAAAATAATTGTATTTAATACATTTTGTACATTTACATGTAGATGATTTAGAATATTTTTACAACTTTTAAAAATATTAAAAGAAAAAACAAAATTGTTATTTATTTATGATTCAGCAAAGTAAAAGTTTTTTTAAAAAGATTTTAAATTTAATATTAAAACTTTAGTAAACTTTTTTGTAATTTTACTCTAATTTCTCTATTTCTCAAATCTACTAAACAAATGATTATAATTTGTGTGAGGAAAAGAACTGAGTGATGAAGAATGAACTTGCATATCTGATTACTTTACTTTCCATGAAAATTTGAAAATCTGACTTTGATTAGAATCTAGGTTTCCCAGAGTGATAGGCTGACACCTTTGCCATAATCATATCATAATAATTATTAATACTTATTTTCTTACTATTTTGTTATGTTATAAAGTGTAAGATAGCATCATTTGAAATAAAAAATGAGAAGACTCTTTTTTACTTCATAATAAAATAATATTTTCTTGTAATTTTTTTTTATAAGGTTCCAGATCTGAAGGAATAGATATATTACCGAGTAGTTCTTCTTCGACAGAACATGAAAAATCTCAGAAATTTTCATTAAAATCAAGTTATTTATTATCCTGTAGTAAGTATGCATTTTCAAAAATTAATGTAATTCATAATAATTTAATATTTTGCATTAATAATTAATAGAAAATTTTAAGTTCTATATTTATATATATTCTATTTCACATTTAGAAGGGTACCACATAAAACAATTTTTTCTTCTGTGTATATTTATTGCAAATATATATAAATCATAGCCATCTCAATCTTTGAATTTGTTCCATTCCAATTTTCAAATTTTCTGTAACATCTGATCTTTAAACAGTGATTCAAAGAAATGCTTAAAATGGATTAAAGCTGATCCAGTGACATTTGGCACATCATTTTTTTCCTCAAAGATATTGCAATAGATGCTCAAATTTTTACTTATCAAATAGATAATGATAGAATAGATTAAATGTATTTGCTAATTTTCTATTATAAATCCCATATGTTGTGATCCATATGTAATAAAGATAAATAATTAATAATAATAATTTTAATTTTTGTACATTAATAGAAAATTTAATTAGTAGTTTAATTTTAAGAGTTTCATATCACTCCATTGATATGTAGAAACAAGTAAAATGGCAAGTCCATGAGGCATTTTCAGTGAAATTAACCTATCCAATGTCAAAATTTCTCTTTGTTGCGTGTTGCCCCCCCAGGTTATATTTTTGTTGGTGCCTAATGAAAATTTCCCATTTTTGAAAAAAATAATCGTGGTTATTGTATCGTCGGAAATTATTATTTTATTTTGCACAAACAAAATATATATATTAATAAATGTAAAAAGAAAAAATATTATATTTCAGAAGTTAGTTTTAATATAAAATTATAATGACTAGCACCATATAGTTTCAAAAACATTCCAATGCTGAAACAAGATATCTCAGGTCAACCAGTCAAGGTCAGCACATCACAACCAGAGATATGGCGGAAATAACACAGGACAAATAAATGGATTTTTTCAAAGATTTGTTTGTCAAAATTTGACTTCCCAACTAGCAATGCATGTGCAAATCTCGCACTAGTGCCTGTTTGTGGAAAGAGTTTTGTATTTTACTTTGGCTTGGTTCTCGGTCCCCTGAGTACCTACAAGTCTGATTTTTTTTTATGCCTGCATGATTTGGGCACCTAATACTCTGTGCCAAATTGCAACTCTTGACATGAATTCCTTCATATTTCTAAGCTGGTAAGCCAGGATGGCACTGTGATTTTATAAACAAGATGTAGTCTTGTCAGTTAAACTTAACAAATGCGATCTTTTAATGGCAAATTTCCTTTCAGTGTAGTGTGATGAGTGATGGGTTATTGTTAAACATTTAAATAATTTATTATAAAATAAAATGCTTGTGACTATTGCTCCCTTGTATAACTATATTGAGATGAGATATGCTCTAAGTTCTTATTCATCACTAAGGTTTCTCATTTCCCGGTCTTTTGCTTGTCCCGGGATTCTGGGATAAAAGTGAACTGGATCCCGGGACAAAATTAATTATTTTTAAGGTATACAAAATATCATGAAATCAAATGATATAATTATTTTTCATTTTTTTAAAGTAATTTAATATGTTCTGTAACCTCCAAAATCATATTAATAATGCTGTGTAAGATATATATTAAAAATTACCTTTGAATTATGTAGAAATTTTCACAAATATAAAAAATTTATTAAAGTTTACTGGAAACTGCATACTACAACAACAACAACAACAACAACAAAATGCTTTGAATTGAGTTAAAAATTAAAAAAGTGAACTTAGATCAAACTTTCGTTTTTTAAATAGAATATAGTACAAAATATTGTAAATTTTTATAAGATTTTAAAAAGCAAAGATGTTCAATACTCTGATCACTCAATCTAATTCTTATTTTAGTAATGAAAAGTCTTGCTACTGAGAATGCCCTTTCCGATTGATGTGAATGGAATCATGTTTAATGCATTTAAGAGAAGACAAATATTACGTGTTTTTCACCTGTATCCTGAAAGATTTCTAGTTCGTTTTCGAGATTGTAGTAATTCTTTTGCTCTCTAGTATTCTTGATTTGTCTACCTCGACTGCTTTAATAGAAACATCATAGCCCAATAATTTGACAGTTCGTTTGTCTTTAATAATCATGTTATGAAGAAAAACTTCATACTTGCGGACTTTGTACTCGTTTGTATCCTTGCCCAATTTGCACAACCTGGTGTTATGCAGTTATTGAAGCTACTGGGCATGGTTAAAAATTAAGACAGCATAAGCACAATTATTCCAGATATTACAGGTAAAGAATTCTGCAAGTCCTGCCACAAATAAGCTACATATTGATTATTGACCATTTGTGACATGCCATAATGAGCAAAAATTAAAAAAAATCTAATAAGTAGGTTTGAAATTAATAAATACAAATGTATTCTGACAGTTTGTGTGTTAATTATACTTTCAATTTACAAAATTTCCTCAACCTTAACATAAAATAAGAAAAAAGTGAATTTTTAAGAAATTTGCGGGATTCCCAGTTAAAAAAACAACGGGGATCCCGTTTGAGAAACCCTATTCATCACTTTACAGGTATGTTGAATTTCACTTTGAGTAAATGCTGTAGTAAAATAACAAACTTATTCTTGTAGTGTCAATTGATGGTCAATAATAGTTTGAAAAACACATCTTGATAGATATAAGAGATAATTGAATAAAGGATGTTAATGGTCAAGTGTTTTCTGAATATATTACATTGTGTTTTTAAAAACGAAATTAAAGATTAGAAACATGCTTCAAAAGCAACCAAAATAAAGATAGAATTGTTTTTTTCCCTTTTGTGTATACAAAATACACTATGCTGTATTTGTAGGCTCCTTTCTATTAATTAATAAATACAAAGCAGTCTATAGAAAGTTATAACCCATTATTATAATGATTGTCAACATAGTTTATTAAATTTGTAAATATTAATTTTGTCAATAATTTATTAAATTATTTAACTTTTTAAAAATTTTATTAGTTCCCAAATTAAATACTTTTTTTTTATTCAAATAATCAAAACACTCAGTTTTGTTTAAAGTAAATCATTATATTTTTTTCTCTACATTAAATAAGAGTGACTAATAAAATATGAATGCATAAAATAGCTGTATGATATATACATTTCAATATGTAAGAATATTCATCACACTGCAAGAAATAACAAAGTTGGCCATTTGTTTAGCATGGCTAGAGGCATAGCTCTAGAAGTTATTTGATTCCAGAGAGATTTATGTAATCCTCTGTGCAAAACATATTTTTTAACACAAAAAATAATGTGTGTTTGTAATAATTAATTTTGATTCTAAGAGAAAGTCTACTTGATTTATCCTTACAACAATATTAGATGATAAGTAATTTCTATTTTATTTGCAGGTAAAATAAAAGAAAACGATTCAAAATTGGAGATGATGCCAATTAAAGAAATTCCAAAACTAAATGTTGATGTTTTAGATACTTCAGTTGCAGATATGAGTTGTGAAAGTGCAACAAATAATGTATGCTTTGAATCATCAATTATTGATAACCAAGCAAATGAAACAAAGATGTTAGATAAAGAAATGAATTTAAGTTATCAAGATACTGCTCTTCAAGGCAAACATAAACAACTTGACTTGCAACATAATTCTGTAACTCAAGACACAGGTTATCAAACTGGTAGTTCTCAATGTGTTCAATTGAATATTCAGCCTGGCTTACATCATTATTATTTACCTAATAATGTCCAAGCATTAGGCAGCAGTAATATTTCCACTTCAAACTTTTTGCAAGATGATTCATCTGGAAATACTAAAGAACAAATTACATTACCCAATATTCATGAAAAACTAATTCAAAACAGCTCTAGTAATGCAAGTTCAAATTTTTCTGTAACAGCATTTCAAGAGCAATGTCCTTCAGAAGGATTTAATTCTTTATCTTGGAAGCCTTATCAATGCTCAACTCCAAGTAAAAATGATGATAATAATATACAAATCTTATGATTTTTGAATTTCGTAATTTTATGAAATTCATTTATATATGGTATTTTTAATATTAAATTTCATATTTTGCTCAATATTTTTATACAAATTTCTGATCAGACTGGACTTAAAACTTATTAAGCATTTATTATTTATAAATCATAATCCATTTTATGCTTTTATATCAAGTTTTTCATTATCACTTTCAACTCCTGCCTTAATACTTTTAATAGATTTACTCAACTTACATAAACTGTTTTAAGTGTACTTACTATAATAAATATAATTATATAAATTCCAAGATTATTTAATTGGTTATATAATTAATTCATGAGTAGACATGCTTATTGTAATATAATGTATATAAGTATCTAGAGAGAAGATATTGCTTTGAATAAATAAAAATGTATGTCAAATACTCAATAAACTTTGGCATAATAAATCCAGAAATAAGATTTTATATATGAAAAAATGGTAATTTTCAAATCATACTGAAATGTATTTGGAATTTTTCTAATATAAGAATTAATTTGATTAAAATAAATAAATATTTTAAAATATGACATTTTTCATTCATATTGAAGTCTTTTAATTACTTTATATTAGTGATTTATAGTTAACATATAATCAGTAGAGAACCCTTTATTATCTCTGAATTACTACAGGTAATCCAGAGATATAACCAAATGGTATGACTTAATGTCATACCATTTGGTTATAACAAACTCACTACTATATAGTAGTGAGATCTATTTACAAGTTAATTCTTTTGTTTGACATCTTCAGTTTAGCACTACATTCAATTTAGTGCCAATTATTTTAGAGGGAAACAAATAATGGTGTTTCTTGAAATATATATAATGATCAGTGGAATCCACATCATGCATGAAGTGGAATCCACATCAATGTTTATACATTAATATTGCCCACAAGGCAATATTGATGTATAAACACTATATTTTGTTTTAAATTAAATTCTTTGAGACTGCTAAAATTATATTCTGAATTTACATGTCCTGCAGGTACAAAATCTTATGGCAACCAACCTTTTGGTCAGATGGAGTTATTGGAAACTTCTCTTATGTTACAAATATTTCAAGCTATGTCACAAGGAAATGGTGGCTATCCCATTTAATGAAGTCAAATACAAATATAAAACAAAATTGACCCTTAACTCTTGAAAGCTGTGTTTTTACAATTTGTATAAAACAGGTGTGTCTGTGACTGGATTGGATAATTACTTTATATTGTTAAATTTTTATTGCAGTTATGTTAAAGTTTGAACATAACTCATGCTTATCTTATTAAGAGAGGAATACATGTGCCGCTCACTTGCCAAATCGATTAACTCCATAAAACAAAAACTGGAGAAAAGTGAAAAAGTAGTATACTGTACATTCTTTTTCAAAAATCTTTATAAAATATAAATGTATAAATAAATCAAATAAACATGTAAAATGTATTATTGTAGATGTAGCTTTTATTTAATGACATATAAAATAGTATAGATATGCTATAATCATTATTATTAATTTGGTGTGATTAACTTAAAAACTTAAAAAAAACTGACTGAATTGAATGTTATTATAGAGAAACATCATTATCATACATTTTTTATTAAACATTTGTTAAAACAAACAACTGTTCTGTTACAATGGTGGTTGTTATTATTTTGATTAAATTGATTATTCAACAACAAAAATGATGTCTTCTTCAGTTGTATTTGAAGTCTCATCATGTCGATTTGTTGTTAAATTTTTTAAAGAATCATGTTTAATAGGAGGAATGAAAAATTATTTTTAGTTTCATCCATGTTGATGTAACAATATAACTTTTTTTTCTAAAACAATTGCCACCAAAATTAAAACAATCATTCAATATTTCACAAGTATACTTACTTCTGCAGCAATTAGACTGTAAGTAAGTAATTAATTTTATTTACTCTTTGTGATGAGATAACATTAAATAATTTACTGTTATCTACAAGGCATTGGTCAGTGCACACTGCAATTGCAATGTGCACTGGCAATTCACGTTACAGTATGGAGTTAGATTGGCTTCTGAAATAAATAAAATTTTGTCATTAAGTGGTATTAATCATTATTAGGGAAACTTATTATGAATATAAAATGTTATGAGTACATCAAGTTTTGACACAAAAATTTGAAATGTGGAATTAATTGATTTGGCTTTGTGAATGGCTCAAATGTTACAAATTTGATATGCTTAATAGTATGATGTCACAAAACTGTTAGAGATTTCTAGTAATTTTGATTTATTCACACACACATTTTCAGAAATGGAATCATCATCAAACTCATAAGTCCAAAAGAAATATGTATAAATTATACAATGGTTAGTGAAAATATTTGTGGGAAATACTGTATTTACTCACATATAGGATGAGGTGTGACTTTAAAGCTCAAAGAAAATTATATAAACAAAAATAAAGGAAATTAGATTTATTAACACAATTCTGATTTGATTTCATTTAATCATAAGTAAAATATCAAATGAATGTAAATGCATACATTGTCCCACAAAAATTACTGGCATTTTAAACTTTAAGGAAAAATCTTGTAAAATCAACAACATAATTTGTTCGTGTAAAGCTGGACAATCGAGAACCTGTTTTTGGCCAATTCTTAACAGTTGAATCCACTCTCCGTTGATTACACTTAAGAGTTTCTTCGAATTCTGATGTCCGAATAATCATGTTTTCACGTGGAAATGGATTAAAACTTATATCATGCTCTCATGTGATTTTGGAATTTCAATCTGGAATTCAATTCAAAAGCTTTGCTTTTCGTATTGCTATTCATCTTTACTTCTGACAATATACAAGAACAATTCAAAGGACCTAGATAAAATACTTTTTTTTTTAAATACAAAAAAGTAAGCATCCAGTAAAAATTGCAAATACACAGTTTGCAAAAATTATTTACATAAATGCAAAGAATCTTTCACTCACACATATAGGATGACCTAGAAATTTGAAGCTGTGATAAATGAATAAAAACCTCATTTTATATGCGAGTAAATACGGTACCTTTTAAAATTGTTGCTTTGCAATACTGTTTCACCAGTGTATTGGTAGAGATCTGTGAAACTTAGATGTGAGATGACAACTTGTTTTGACATCATGGAGATGCACAATCATTCTACAAGTGCATCAATCCAGCTTATCTTGCCTTCCTTGACTGAACATGACTAGAGTTGCAACTTTGGTACAGTATCTCAAAACTCTCCAACAAGCACTTTGCAAGCAAGCCTCATCTCAGACTATACATATATGTAGTATCAGCTCTTTTGATCTGAGTGCTTCAACCTTGATGATGATGATGAATGTGAAAGGCATCCAAGAGTTACAATTTCAGAGAAGATTGATGCTGCTTGAAGATCACATAAGTACCAGAGAGCTAGAATGTAACCTCAACATCTCATATGGGTCAGTCATTACCATCTTGCATTAATTAAACTGCATATGAGGAAGCTGTGTGCACATGGAACTATGGTTCAGCTGTGAACCCTGAATCTAAAAATCAGAGTAAGCAGTGAGTAGCTGAAGGACATAACCATCAAGTTTCTCCAAGAGTGTAGCATTGGAAAAATCATGGTTGCAGTTTATTCTGCTGTTATGGCATCCTTGAACCTGTCATTGTGCACTATGGTGACTGCAGAATAGTACTCTTATGTTTGCTTATGAAAAGTGCTTCAGTCATTTGAAAGAACCAAGCTACACAACATAATAATGCATCTGAATAGAGTCAAAGTGACCTGGTTGTTTGTCCTGCAAATTGGTCCAGCTTCCACATCATGTTTATTCACCCAATCTGGCACCTTGCAACTTCCTTATCCCACAGATAGTGTTGCCACCTTTTCAAAATCACTGACATGGATAGCAGGTCAGGTTTGTTCAAACAGATATTCCTGACGCATGCGCAATGTCATTTTACAATGCAAAGAATAATGTGCATGCCGGTTCTAAATCAGTTACAGTTAGGGACGTGGGACTTGCATAGGAGTAACCTAAATTAAGAAAGAACAGGTACAGATAACTAAGCTCTATTTGAGAGGTGTACAGGTGGCATGCCACAGGTCAACATAAACAGACTAACATGGCAGAATTGCAGACAAGTTTCAGTGAGTGTGTTCTTTCGCTGTTTAAAATAGTGTAAATTTGTAAAAATATTTGCAAGAACTTTGTTTTATCACAATTTCTACGAAATTCCCGGCCAAAATTAATAGTTCACCCAGACAGTGAGTCAATTCCCAGACTGTCCGGGTGGTAACACTACTCACAGATGAAGAGAAATCTGAAAGGAAGTTTGATTCAAGGGAGGAACTGGTGAATGCAATGACATTAGTTAGTCAAGTTTTCAAAGATAAATTTGCAAGGGTCTTTTTGGACTGATTTTCAAGAATAATGATTTCAATGAAAAATTCAAGGAATAGAGATATCTGTGTTATTCTGTTACAAAAAAAATGTATATTTGAACCAAAACAAGTGTTTTCTGTGAATTTTTTTACCACCTCTGTATAAAGATTTAGTATGTTAGAGTGGTACATTTTATGGCCATGAAATATTTGAGAATCAAGAGTTCACTTTATGTGGTTTGTTAAAAATTCATATTTAAAATTATTAGCTTTATGCATATGAAGAGAATCCAAGTTTTGAGTGGAATTGTTTTTTTACTTTCTGGCTGTTGAGGGAAAGTATTTGTGATCAGACAAATTTTGGCACTCCAGTTTTTTTTTAATTTTTCAAGATCCTTGGATGCCAAAAACAGAAACAAGTGCATGGAAGGCTGCAATTTGCTTTGTATCTCAGGATTCTATGGACCAAACAATTTCACAGGAATGCATCTACATATGGGGCACTGATGCTAAAACATTTTGGATTGCAAGGAAGATATAGAGGAGGAAATTATCTGAAGTGGAGTCAGTCTTTTACACTTATACAGTATGCTCCCAATTATCTGGGCTAATAACTTATGGATAATCTGCAAGTGCATTTTATTGAATGCTAATAGATTTTTTATTGGTTTTTAATTTCATATGACTAAAACTTATGTTAAATAATATATAAACACATTTTGAGAATGCTAATTGATTAATTAATAAGCTTGAGATATGATCAGTCGAATAAAACTTTTGGCAAGTCTTCGATAATGGAAAATTGTTTAAGCCTGGACTCCAGATCACCTGAAAACAGAACTGAAAGTTTTCAACTTGACTCCACTAGTACCAAAATGAATGTTACATGGAAATGCACCACCTGTTGATCAGTTCTATAACTGTCCTAAAGTCAAACACGGACAATGCTATGGATTTTGCCATGCTCTCTTATTTCTTAATATTAATGAAATTGTCAATACATTTGAAATCTTGCTGAAATCGTTTCTGAATGAGGAAAATATTCCATGACAAAAATATGGACTGAATTCTTC